CCATTTTAAAAAATTAAATTTGAGATAAATATAAAAAGGAAAGGTCCATTTAAATCCAATCTGCCTTAATTACATGGCAAGACTAAGTTGTAAGACATCAGTCTCCAATAAATTGTGGCCTTGGGAGACCAAACTACTAGTAATGACCTCAAGCTGCAGCAGAGGAAATTGAGATTGGAGATTAGGGAGACCTTTCTCACTATGAGGGTGGTCAAGCATTGGAACATGCTACCTAGAGAGGTTGTAGAATTTCCAACCCTAGCAATTTTCAAGAGCAGGTTAGACAGACATTTGACTGCTTTAGTCAGGGATGATCTTGCTTTGAGCAGAGGGATGGACTAGATCAGCAGTTCTCAACCTTGTTTGTACAAGGACCCATTTGTAAACACCAGTGGCCAGTCCCGACCCAGTGCCCCTCACTCCTGACCCGCTGCCCCCCATCTCTAGGCCCCAGCCCTGCAGTGTGTGGGATAGAGGGGTGTGCATCAGGCATGGGGGGCCCCAAGAAACCCCTCACAGGCTGGAATTCTGCCAGTTTGCAAGGGAAAAGCCATAGCTTCCCATGTTTTTCTTCTTTAAAGGGGAATCAATTTTTAAAGTTTGCTTGTGACCTTTTCGAGTATTCTTGCAACCCACTTTTGGGTAAAGACCCATAGGTTGAGAAACACTGGGCTAGATGACCTTATGAAGTCTCTTCCAGACCTATTTTCCCATGATCCTATGAGAGCATGTAGCAATAATTTTAGATTAGATAAATTGTGACACTTAAATTGAGAGGGGGAGATACAGAGAGATCACAATAAGTCAGCCATGCAATGCCAGCCACAGGTACTGCTCTATGGATAATCACGCTCTTCTAATGTAAAGAAAGGTCTGTTAGCAAAGCCATACAGCATGCAGGAGACAGATACTCTGAATGAATGAGCAGAAATGCTGGATTCACTTCCATTCTGTAGAGAATCCTAAGAAAAGAAATGAGAAGATCCTTCCTACCTAAGGTGCACTGGGGTTAAGGAATGCCACACACAAATAAATTAGATCAGAAGAGAGGGGGTTATGCAGAATGAGTCTCCCCCAGGACAGATGTGTTTTCATTTTTCACCCCACCCCACCCACAAGCAGTATGGCTCCTTGTGTTCCACTTACCGTATACCCACCCTACACAGATGACTTCAAAAATGGCTAGGAACAGTAGGCAAGTGCCACTGGCAGCATAATAATCAAACAGCTGAAATATGTACATCCCACCCTGTGAGGAAGACAAAGAAAATGTGGGGGATCAGCTAAAGGAAATGTGCAAGAGAAAGTAAGGAGGATGGAGATGGGTCAAGTACAGCAATAGAAGGAGAGAAACAAGGAAACTGCATATACAACACAGGAGAATAGATCTCTCTCTAGTCCTGTCTACACCAGGAGATAAATCATGCTACATAACCAATTCAAGTTCAAAAGTCTACTTGCACATCATAGCCCTGAGGGTTAACAAAATTAAGATATACCAGTTTCTGTACACTATGCCAGCATCGCATCCAGCCACTTTTGGCTCCCCTGCATAAGTGATCAGGTACATATAAAAAAGCTGTCTCGCAGTCAACACAGCTACAATCATGAATTAAGTCCAATACAGGAATTAAATTTAAGCTTTAACCAGATGTCTTAACCACTCTGCACTGCACCTCGCATGCTACATGCCCCCTTGTCCTAAAAGGATTGTTAGGCATAATGCCAGTATCATTTGAGAACCCTTAGCATCATGTTCGCTGTCCTAATTTTTTTTAAAACCAGACTACAAACTATTCTCCCCAGCCACTTTCTAGCACAGTTTCTGGATACCATCTATGCTGATCTTGATCTTTTAGCTAGAGTCACAAGATCTGGAACCAGACACAAATCCTAACTAAGCTCAGGATATTCTTAATCCAGGCACTTCTCTGCATGTGACAAACGTTCCAAGGTTGTGAGAGGCCAATATAGTATTCTCTAAATGGCTTTTGATGGCCGGGATATCTGCCTGCTACCAAAACGCATGGCCCTTCTCACCTCGGTGACCAACATCAGGCCAAGCAGGTAGCATATGACTGCAATGAACAGGATCAGCAGCTCCCGGCGCCCTTTCCTACGGAACACTTCTGGGTACATGTCGACGATCGCTGTCACCAAGCTCTCAACACAGACAAACTGCAAAAAACCTCAGGTTAGAAAACCAACGGTCCCATGTCCTCCCTTTCCCACCTATCTTCTCTCCTTCTTTCATTCTCCCCCTCAGGCAGTGTCTTCTCTTTCTTCATACCTATGGAGTATGACTTGCTTGGATAAGAAACAATAAACCTTCAACAGGGGTTGACAAAACAACACTGCAGCAACGGTGCCTGCGGTTACTCAGAACATACAGCAACTAAGTTATTATAGGGGCACCACTGGAGCAGAGAAACCTACTAACGTGGTCATAAGCCCATACCTCAATATTCTCCCTATTCTAGGAATAAAAGGAATAATACATGGATCCCATAAACAAATAAGGGATTTTAACACACAAGAAGAAACAACTGAGGCAATCCCTATGAGGAAAAAAAAATACAGGCAAGCAAGTACTACTGTGGAGCTAGCTGACTGAAGGGGCAACATATTGTAGCTGGAATCAAGAGGATGGAGAATAAGGAGTGGGCCATCTACATACAGTGATGATCCTGGTTTTCTAATGATTAACATAGACTGTGTCATAAAAGTGCCGGATGCAGGAAGGATGATTTCTCACCCTAGCCAGCTGACTCTGTGGGAAGCACACAGGGAAGCGTGGCTAATGACCAGCCCTTGAGTGTTAGAATGTGAGATGGACAGTACAGAAGCTACAGTTCACTATTGAGGAATAACTGAGAGCATGCCAGCAAAGTGATGCGATGTACTGGCCAGTTGTAAGTACGGTATTACCATTTTGAAGTAACGTGCATGTATGACTGCTCTGAGGCATTTCCCATCAGTGCAAGGTTTATAACCTTCACAGATGTGAAAAGCTCTCACAGATGTGTTTGACACATTGGAGTAAGGTAGGGGTTGGAGAGTGTTATTTACTGTACCTGGCTGTCCAGTCCCAAGAAGATCAGCATAAGGAAAAAGAGGCAGGACCAGAGCTGAGACACTGGCATCATTGTTACAGCCTTTGGATATGCAATGAATGCTAGGCCAGGACCTGCCAACCAGACAGCTGCATGAGTAAGAGGTTTCACAGCCATTCACACACACTACACAAAGCAGTTCAACATGCTGTTTAAAAACTCAACCCATCAAGATCTCCCCTCCCAAAAACATAGCAGGCAGTGATTGTGTCACTGACATACAGCTCACTGACTCAGACAGACTAACTGGGTTTGGAGAAAATAACCAGGGGGTCCAGAACAGTAGGAAATGCAACTTTAGTTGTGGCTGGTGGAAGTAGGAACTTCAGGCTGGCAGAGAATGAAGCAGTGCTTCTGAACGACAGCACCAAAGACTTCTAGGCCAACAGAATATGCAAATAAACAGGGAACAGCAAAGGTTGTTGAGGTTGTAGTACTGGTTCTATGCAACAACACTGATAACTTTATAAATGTGTTTAATAACCAAGTGTGCCGGTTCCTAAAAAACCCACCCAGACTCTTATGGGTTACTTCTGGCCCTGTTGCACATACCTGACTCTGCCACTTCTGAAATGGGCACGCCCTGTTCTTGTGCCATGAAGCCCAACACAGAGAAAATGGCAAAGCCAGCCACAAAGCTGGTGGCGCTGTTCAGAAAACATAGCATGAAGCAGTCCCTGTTGGGGGAAAAACAAGAAAGGACATTGTTTTCCTCTGCAGAAAACACCTTCAGTCACCTTCACCTTTACCACCTTCAGTCACTGCTTCCTACCTGGAACAAAGTGTATGCATGAACTTGATTATATTAACATTCTGCTTTGAATCCTGCAGAGTCCAGCCATCCAGAACTGAATTCAATGGACTACTGCCTTGATCCCTGATAATGCAAGAACTATAGGATTATGTTTGGCTGTAAAAGTGGCAGAGGACAACAATCATGCCTTACGAGTTGAATGCTCAGATGAAATCAGTAGGGTCTCAACCTCATGCAACCAGCTGGAGTTAAAGTATTACAACAGAGCACGGAAAATGAAAGAGAATGAGTTTTAATGAAGGCCTTGTAAAAGTAGCACATGCTCCCCAAAGAGAGAGAGAAGAACCTATGGACCATTTGAATCTGTACCAATCAGCAAGTCTGATAAGTTAAGAGAATGGTCAGCTAACAAGTATTAGCAAAAGCAACACAAATAGCAAAACAATCCATGTATAATGATTACCTTTGTAAAGCCATGGGAAGGTAATGACATGCTGACTTAAAATAGGTGTCATGCCAATTTGAAATAAAAAAAGGGATGTATAATAATTCTGGAAACTATCATCAGGTACTTATATCCCCAAAACAATAAAAGAAAACAATCAAGAGAAAAAGAACATTTGAGCAACGTAGGGCCTGCTCCAAAGGCCACAGAACTGAATAGAAAAACTTGTATTGACTTGAGGTGGAGCTGGGATCACACATCCTAGAAGAAAAGGGAACTAGAAGCATAGGATGAAAAAGAACAAATTGTGCCAGACAAGCCTGATTATTTGTTTCTGATAGGATTAAGGCACAGTACTAGGTGCAGTAAAAGCAACATCACCATGTTTTAGCAAAGCATTTGCTGCAGTAGCTCAAGCTGCCCTCTCCTCTATACCAATTTGAACCTGAAGTGCCCTGTTTATTTGAATTTAAGATGACCCTGAATTTAAGATTACCCCACAATAATTACATTCTACACATAGAAAATTTATAAATTTGTTATAAATATTCCATGTATAGAATTGAAGTACTGGAGGGTCATCTTTAATTCATTCCCCCACCGCTGCAGGAGGGCAGGCATTGGGGGTACAAGTGGTATGGGGAGGTCAAGCAGCTTGCCCCCTGCTTGTGCCTGCCCCCTGCAGCCTTGTGCCCCCCTGCCCCTTTCCTTGGCCTCTGCTTCCCCCTTCCCCTCCTTACCAGCCCCTGTGGCAGCTGTGCAGGCTGTGTGCTGCTGCTACAGGCCAGGCTGGGGCTGGGCTCAGTGCCCCAGGTTGCAGCCAGCCAGGGGGCAGGGCTGGGGGAGAGGGAAGGGAGTAGAGGCTGCATGGGTGAGGAGATGGAGGAAAAGAGACTGCAGGGGGGAGGTGGCAGGGTGCCAGAGTAGCTGGGGAGGCCAGGGGGAAGAATATGAGGGGCAGGCAGCAGCTGTGGCTGCGGCTACAGTCCTGACCCCAGGTAGAGGCTGGAGCCCAAGTCGAAGACACAGCAGCCACCTGCCTCCCTCCCTTCCCCCCAGCCCTGCCCTTGTACATGATTCTAAGACAAGGGGCTTTCCCGCCACCCCATGTCAAATGGAGGGGACCTCATCTTAGAATCAAGTAAATACAGTAATTCCTCTGAGCTGTGGAACTGAATAGCACTCATCCCTAGAGCTCCCACCATTTTGTCTCCAGGATGATTTATCATCTTGCAGTACGCGCTTTAAGTGAATAATGGCACCTCCAGCAACATTCCCTAACACTAGGGTTCAGGTCTGACTTGGACTGAAAGCTGAAACCCAAGCCATTGCTTGCAGTACCCTTTTTTGCCTGAGCAGTCTCCCACCCAGTTGTTGAGCTCTGCTCAGCTTGAAAAAATCTGACAAAAGCGTATCACAAAACAATGCGAGTCCCTGTTTTTGAGGTGGCTCATGCCTGGATTTAACTGCACATTGCTTGAGCTTGCCATCTACACTTCTAGCTGGATATGAGACACAGACTGCTCTTACCTGTAACAGTTGTTAGTATACTTGTTGTAGCTGCCCAAAGCGGTCAGGCACCCTTGGCAGATGGCATAAGAAAAGAAGATCTGAGTGCCTGCATCCATCCACACCTGGAACAGAAAAGGACAGTGATTTACAGCTGTGGCAGATGAAACAAATAGTTCCAAGAATGACAGCTTTTGTGGCAGCGTCCTGTCTAAGGCAGAGAAATCCCCATCCAGCACAAAAAGAAAGAACCCACAAAGTGCAACACAGACTTGGGCAGACCAGGCTGACTAGGGCCAAGTATAAGATTCTTCAGGAAAAGAGAGGGTTTCCTTCTCGTCTCCACTGAATTTTCTCAGCAACCCAGGAAGTAAGGCTTTAAATGGGAAGGAAGGAGAACAATTTCTAAGCTGCAGAGATTTGTTGTATAAACTGTCCTTCACCCAGTAGCCTGATCAAGGGCATACCCTGAAAGTCATTCACACTGCAGATGGCAATGACTCGGACAACACTGAGTGCAAACACCATTCTCTTTTTTTTTTTCCAAAGCTGAAGGACATACACACCATTCACAGAAAGTCTGGGACTGGCATGGGTATGGAGTCACAGAACCATGAATGCCTTACAAGAATCCCCCCAAATGAGTGCCAGGAAAACCTTTACACAACATCATGCTGCCTCATTTCCCACACGTGCAAGACCACGGATAGGCTGGGGGGAGAGCAGGAAAAATGATGCTGGGTTTGGGCATCACACTTCATAGGAGATATGGACACTTTGGAAAGAATCCAGAAAAGAGTAATCAGACTACTTAGAGGTCTAGAAAACACAACATGAAAGGAAAGATGGGAAGAATTTGGATTAAGTTCTGAGAACAGAAGATGGGACCAACCTCTGGGATTTGATGCAAATACAGGAAAAAGCTTGTTTTAAAGAGAAGGTGACCTGTTGTGTTCTGGACTCGCATGGAGACAGGACAAGTACCACAGTACTGGGCTTAGATTCCAACTAGAGGGATTTAAATGGCAAACTGGAAGGAGCTTTCTAATGCTGTGTGTAGTTAAGCACTGGAACACATCACCTAAAGAGACCATGGAGTCTCTGTCACTGGAAGTTTTTGAGTGTGGGTTAGACAAACGCATGCTTGCCTGAGCTGGAATAGACAGGGTGACCCTGCCTTGAGCAACCAGTTGGATCAGATGGCCTCTCATTGGGCCTTCCATCCCTATTTTCCTATAATTTTAAAATATCACCATAGTTTTCATTAACTCAGTTTCTCCTTTCATTCTGGCACCTACTGAAAGTAACAGAATCTGTTTATTATTGGTGTCTGTAGATGTGCAGGGATGCTGCTCCGACATGCTGTAATTACAGACTCGAGTATACTAATTAATGCACTCCAGCAGCTTCTGCATCTCAAGTATTCAGCATCCCCACACTTCAAGATGGTGGGGGGGGAGCTTTAACTAAAGCTCATCAAATGAGCTTCAGTTAAAGTGCCCCCACCACCATTTTGAAGCGCAGGATGCTGAATACATAAAATGCTGTGGGCGCTTTAATTAGAACAGCTTCGAGAGCCACTTTAATTAAAGAGGCTCTTTCCCCACCCAGAGCATGTATAAGATGCCCTTTATTTCTGTTTTCAGCCTCCAACTCCTTCCCATGCCCTTCCCTCCCACCCTGGCCCTTCATATTAATGCCTTGACAGTTCCTTCTCTCACACAGCACCATGCAAGGAGCTATATGACATACACAGAAGCACTGCAGCACATACCTTCCACAGATGGTCCTTATCAGAAGGTTAAAGGGCTCCGAGACAAATCCCAACTAGCATCCACACAGTCCCCTCAGCAAAATCCAGCAGCAGGCATCCAACTGGCTGCAGTTTGGCAAATTTTCAAATACTTACAGTTATCCACAGCTACTAAAATTCACCCTGATGGATAGGGCTCCTGTGCTCTCTCCAATTTATGCCTATATAGATTTCATAGACTTCATAGATTTCATAGACATTAGGGCTGGAAGGGACCTCAGAAGATCAGAGTCCAGTCTCCCCACCCAAAGGGCAGGAAGTCAGCTGGGGTCATAGGATCCCAGCAAGATAAACATTCAATTTGCTCTTGAAGGTGTTCAATGTAGGTGCTTGAACCACCTCCGATGGCAGGCTGTTCCAGACCTTGGGGGCTCGGACAGTAAAGAAATTCTTCCTTATGTCCAGCCTGAAACGGTCTTGCAGGAGTTTATGACCATTTGACCTCGTCATCCCTTGGGGCACTCTGGTGAACAAACATTCCCCCAGATACTGGTGGTCACCCCTGATAAACTTGTAGGTGGCCATCAGATCATCCCTGAGCCTGCACTTTTCCAGGCTAAAGAGCCCCATAGCTCTCAGCCTGTCTTCGTAAGGAACAGAAAAGGACAGTGATTTCCAGCCATGGAAATCAGTCTGTTTTCCTGACCTCTGATCATGCATGTGGCTCTTCTCTGCACTCTCTCAAGCTTCTCCACATCCTTTTTGAATTGTGGGGCCCAAAACTGGACATAGTACCCCAGCTGTGGCCTCACCAAGACCAAGTACAAGGGGAGAATGACATCCCAGGATTTGCTTGAGAAGCATCTATGGATGCAAGCCAGCGTTTTGGTCGCTTTACTAGCCGCAGCATCGCATTGCAGGCTCATGTTCATCTTGTGGTCAATGATGACCCCCAAGTCTCTTTCTTCCAAAGTGCTAGCCAGTGTAGCACTGCCAAGCCTATAAGGTGCAGGTTTTTCCTCCCAAGGTGGAGAACCTTGCATTTTTTGGTGTTAAACACCATCAGATTCTTGCCCACCCATTTGCTGAGCCTGTCTAGGTCAGCCTGGATCGCCCGCCTGTCTTCAGGTGTGGATGCTTTGCCCCAAAGTTTGGTGTCATCAGCAAACTTGACCAGTCCGCTTCTGACTCCAATGTCCACATCATTAATGAAGATGTTGAACAATATGGGTCCAGCGACAGAGCCTTGGGGGACCCCACTGGTCACAGGGCACCATGACCAGTGACCAGGTGCCTATGAGTAGTTATCAACCTTTTTAGCCTCAAGGCACTCTTCATGAGATGCAAGGCACCAATCAGAAAATGTTAATTCTTAGCTTGCACTTGTTTTTAGGTGCAGAAAAAGAATAGCAATTCTTCTTCTGCAAAGAACTGTTTAGAAAGACTGCAACAGATCAGAATGCTTTTGCCACCATGGATTTCTATTTGAAATCTCTGGGTTTATCTTGTTGAATCATGTGTGCACACCTAACAGTGCTGATACTACATAGCATCCTGCATCATCCTCAAAAAGACCTTGTAGCACCCTGGTTGAGAATCACAGGCCTGTACACAGGCCACATGTAGAAGACCTCATGTTTTACCTAGCAAGATGGACCCAAATTCTGCCCCTGGCTCCAGAAGCACTGTAGTGCTACAGACTGGAAATTTCATGCCAGCTTCATTTGCGTTTAAAAAAAAACAGAGGTTAGTAATACATTTATTATGAACAGGAACTAAACATTCTGTTCAGGAACTCCTGTATTGTTGGACAGTGATATTCAATTTATTTCAGGCCATCTCTATGTTTTTAGCGAGCCACCATTTTTAATTTTTTTTAGTACATCAAGAGCACATAACTGCATCTGAAAGTCATCAGGAGAAAGCTGGAGGCTTTGGCAACCAGGTAGGAGCAGCTGGGGTGTTTGTCATCCAGGAAGATGCAGGCAGCGGTTTGGGATTGAGGGGAAAGCACATTTGTTGGATGGTTCTGCTAAAATAATCAGCAGTGAATTAATGAGCAGTGTTGATGTTCACAGGCTCATCTTTAGGCCTCAGGATTGACACCTCATTGGGATGATGGAGGCATTGGGAACAGTGCAGTGACTTTAGCGTCTCACTGAGCTGACTTCCACCTAGGTAGCCGGGGTTCCAGTCTAGCCCGGTACCAATCTAGCCTTGGCAGCCAGAACCTCAGAAAGGGTTAATTTACCCTGCTTTTTAGGCCAGTTCTGCAGCCTGTACTGAGCTCCCTGTTTCTGTGGCTGAGCTTTTACCAGTACCAGGGCAGTGACTACAAGGCCATCCCCTCAGGATGATATAACACTGCTGGGCACATCAACCGTTTTCAAGACTTTGTTCAGTCATAAAGGCTAGAAGCCTAGTGATCTTTTAAAAATCAGAGCAGCAGCTATAGGGCACCAGCTCTGTAGGAAAGAACTGACTTCAATGCCTGTTTTGGAGTTACAAAATTATAGAAAGAGCAGGGCTCAACTGCAATCCCTGCGCATTAACTCTCACACAGGACATGGCGACACTGGCTCTACAACTTTAGAGAAGCGCTGCTTTCAGCCACACTACATCCATCCATTCCCACACTGCATATGTCAACCCCAGGAATAAGGCAGTGAAGGAGCTCAGAGAGCTCCCCACATTGTTGCCCCCAAACATCCCAGAGGCTCAGTTGTCAAGTGTGAAGGAGGCATCCTCAGGGGTGATTCACTTTGAGGCGTGATGCATGCATGGTGGGCATGTATGAAAGCAATGCTTTGGACAGAGCTGGGGAAGCAGTGTAGACATACCCATAGCCATCTACTACACTAGCTCTCTCACACTAGGAGACTGATGTCTCTGAGAAGCTCCAGCCAGGCTGAAAAAAGAGAGGTATTTCTCCTGTTTTCTTTAATCATTTTAACATTCAACAAAAACTGGAATCTGGTGTATTCCAAATATTTAATAGATGTGTCTGCATTTGCCAAGTTCTTCAATGGAATTGACCTAATGATCCATTTGTTTCAAATATGTTGACAAAAAAAATCCACATGTAATGCTTTTAGTGAGACCCCAGTATCTGGTCAGTCCCTTGGTAGAAGGCAGCTAAAACTAGATATAGATAGCAATCAAGGAGGGCCCAATCCTACAAGGTGCTTAGTACCTCCTGTCCCCATCACCACCTTGCTGAGACTGCATGCACCTCATAGGACTGGGTGTTCATTCACTCACCTGTGGGTCCATAAGCCTGGAAACATCTGGATTCAAGTAGAACTTGATCCCCTCCAATGCCCCAGGCAGAGTGACCCCTCGAACAAGCAAGATAATAAGCATCAAGTAGGGAAATGTGGCAGTGAAGTAAACTACCTGGAAGCAAAAGAAATATTAAGGAGAGGGACTGAAAGGGGATGCTGTCACCACATGAATTATACAGTGCAAAAATTCCCTTAACTCTACAGCTAACGGACACATCTGAGATTACTAGGTTGACAAATGGTGGTCTGAAAAAAAGAAAAAAAAAAAAATCACATTTATTTTTCCCTGCTTATACCTAAACTTGATTTGTGGACTTCATGGGACAGAGAATCTACAAACTCCATAGGGTAAGTTGCTAATTGTTCTGTGGCTAATTGCTGTCACCGTTAAAAAATTGCCCCTTATTGCTCTGGTCTTAATTTGTCTAGCTTTAGCTTCCAGCCACTGAATCTCATGAAGCCTTTTCCTGCCAAATTAAAGAGCCCTTAACTGCTGATGAAATATTCTTTCCATGGAGTTGCTCAGGACCCCAATCACCTATGAATCTTCTTTGGTTAGGCTGTGTTTCTCTCATTTCCCACCATAAAGTATGTTTCCTGAACCTTGGATCATTTTTCAATCCTCAACGATTTTTCAAGATCCTTTTAAAAATATGTATATAGACCACACCCTATATATGAGCAGGTTTCTTGTTTTTTTTAAGACAAAATAGGAGGTGGCCACCAACAATTGGGAGCTGAAACCTGGAGTGACTGAGTAAATTTGCATTAAAGGCGAGCAGCTGTGCAGATTCCACAATTCACCAACTAAAATCCAAGCCAGTCAGAGGTCAACAGGAAAAAGATTATAAGTATGAGACTGGGAGACGGCCACAGAGATTCCATGTCTGACTGATACAGGACCTGTTTTGGAATCTGTCTCAACCAGTGCCAGGAGAAGCTGTATGTGCTGGGAGAGGACAGTATAGGTAAGTCAGTAGTTACTCTGAGGAATAAAGGGGTCACCTACCCTTCAAGGATAGTCATACTTCCGCTGGAAATATACAAGATAAATACTTCTTATGTATAACCTACCATCACCACCTACTATGACTTTGATTAGAGCATCCAATCAAACCTACAGAGACTTCTTTGACCCCCTCATCAGATATATTATGCTCACCCTGTTCAGAAATGGAAACAATACCATGTGATTTGTGACTCAACCCAATGTGCCAGCCCAGACCAAATTTTTAATGTCAAATGTGAAACGTTCAAAGCAGCACTCCAACTCTGAGCAATCCACTGAGCTAAACAAAAAAAAGTAACATGGAAAGAGCAGTGGATTATGTAATTACATATAAAGAGGAAGTAATTGCAATAGATTCCCTGAATAGATTATTTGCAGTGGGTTATACACTCAGCTTCATTGTTGATTACCATAGGGTGAGTGGACTTTTGCCAATGAAACTGTTTAGTGTTGCAAAAGGCACCAAACTGCATGGGGTGTAGCATCAATGACTAGGACAGGGGTGGCCAACCTGCAGTATACAGTATGCACCACAAATGGCATGGACAGCCCGCATGTGTGGCAGGCAGCACAGTAGCAGATAGTGCAGGGTGCAGAAAGCAGAACAGTAGATCAGACTGTGGTAGTGGACCACAGTGGCACTTGGGGAAGGGGCAGGGCTTAATTTGTGGCACACCTGCCAAAAAGGCTGACTCCCACTCGATTAGATGATTGTGTATTGCTACTAGCACAAGAGCCTCTTCCCTCATCATGGCGGGTAGCATTAGTCAAAGGACTTTCCTGCTTCTAAACTCTCCTTTTCCTTTCAGTTTGATCTACTTTCTTTGTTTTCCATGCTATGGACCAAACTGAGATTTCAGTTTGTGTGGCCCAGTGCAGTGGTACCCACTCAGATCTGGTTTGGTCCCGTGTTCTGTGTGCCTTGCCTCTTTTCCTCTTCTTTCACAACAAAAGGTTTAGGCTTGAGGGGAGATAGCAGCAGCTAAGAAAGGGGACAGAGTCTGATTTTACCTTGCCTGTGGACTTGACTCCCTTCCAGATGCAGAAGTAGCAAATGATCCATGCAAGCAGGAGGCAGAGCGCCAGCTCCCAGCGCAGGTTACCCAGATTGTGAATACCATCAGTGAGCCCCAAAGCTCGTCTTCTGCCAGTGCAGGGGTGGGGAGAAAAGAAAGTTAGTGTCCAAGACCTGATTCTTCCAACCTGCTCTTTCCAATAGCCCCCCAAATCAGACATTTTCATACATGTCCCATAAAAATGGCTGCCCAGTGCCCTCCCACATCCCTAACGACCCCCAGCCATTCTGCAACCTTCATCTCTATTACACTTCTCTCTGGGATGCTGTTAGCCTGATCCATGTACTTCACCAAGTCCTCTTGTTAGGCTGAGCTTACTAGCTCCCCTAAAACCCTCCACTATGCTGATAGCTCCATTATAGTCCCAGGACTTTGAACTTGTATAGTATAGAAGCCAACTTGCACAGAACCTCTATCCCTTCAGCTTTCTTTCAATCTACGGGCTCCCCTGCTACTCTTCAATATCACTAGTGGTTCCCAGTCACTCCTAGGGCTACTTGGGTTTCTCCAGTCATCCCATATTCTATTCTTAGCATCTCTGATTCCCCTAGACTCCTCCCCCACCCCACAAAAAACCCTTCTGGCCTCTTTGGAAGCTGGCAGTGTTGTTCTGAAATTGCAGACGGTTATTCTAGTGGCATCTGGGGAATCTGCTTGAGGGGCCCAGTAGGCAGGGCACAAGGTGGGGAGCCAGCAGCCTCATGCTGAAGTCCCAACTCTCCAACTCATCTGCCATGGTGCAAATACCTGAGCTTCTCTGCATCTGTTTTCCCATTGGTCAGATGGGTGGGGAGAAAGGGTAGAGGACCCTGGTCACCTTTGTAAGTACTTTGAAAGCTATGGATCATAGAAAAGTAGGGCTGGAGGGAACCTTCAGAGGTCTAGTTCACCACCCTGCCAGAAACAGGATTGTCCCTATCCACACTGTCCTAGACAAATCCACTGTCTAACCTATTAATAAAACTAGTCGACCCTGACAACCCTGACACTGGGTCCATAATACCCTAACCTGTCCAAGATAAGGCAGGGGGTAGAATAGCGCTTCTAGCTTCCTGAGAGCTCCTTGGATAGGGCATGGGGAGGGACAGGGTGTATCTAGGTCTCGTAATGTTCATTCTCTCTAATACCTGGTGCAAAATGATGCCCTTCAGTGCACTCTGATGCATGTCTCCCTCCTGAGTATTTCTCTTAGGCAATAGGCCTGTTTGCCCTGGGGCAATTTCTTGGAATTCATAGGCATGTACTCCAGCAGTGAGGAATCAAAATAAGAGCAGTTTTCCTCAGGAACTGAACAAGAAGCCTTATTAGAATAAGAAAAATAAGCTGCTTTGTCTCTCTCTGCTTTACTGCAGAGCACCTGTTCAGAATCTCCCCTGGCTCCCCTCTTCTAGCTATTCTTCTGAACAAACTGTACCAATATACTTCTACATGAACTGACTGCCTGTGTGCCCCCTAGGTATTACCAGGGACAACCTTACCAAATGGGTACAGGGCCTCTGTACCCACATCTGGAATACTTTACAGTATCTGCCAGGTCAGCAGGGGGATGTGTACATACATGCTTAAGGGTTTCATAGACTCAAGTCAAGCTGCTTCTGTATGTGCCCCACAGCATTTTAATGCATCACATGCCATAGGCCTGGGTTCTGAATCTGAAATGTGGTATTAGCTCATCTTTTCTGTTACAAGAGGCAGCATTCCAGGTATTCGCAATGCCGTGACCTTTGGAGGTAAGTAGGTTCAGAAATGGGGGTACGTACTCCCAGAATTCAATAACTGGGGAGGTAGCGTTGGCTGGTGCTGTCCAGTTCTCTGAACCAGAGGCATTCAGGAAATCCACGCACAGGTCTAACAAAACAGAAAAGCAAGTTTGTCAGCCAGCAGAAATCTCTTGCCTCTCAGCCTGGATGCTCCCACCTCCTCTTCATTCACTGCAACTGCAAACACATCCTTCACTCGCTATTACAAAATGTCACTTTTTCTCCCCTCACCCAGAATCCCAGCCTGGGAACAGCTAGAGGGCTGAAGGAAGAGGCAGATCCCTACTGAATGGAAACCAGATGGCTGTAGAATGCAACTACAGTTATCCAGGATGTTAAGTCTCATTCTTCTCTGCCATCCCCGCACTTTTCCTGGTTCGGCCCCACAAACAGGCACCCCTTCCTCCCCCCCACTGCTTTGCAAGTACACCTCCTCCTCCCTGCTCCCACAGATCCAAAGTGCAAATGATACGTGAAATTCCTAAAATGGGTGGAAGCAGCAGCAGACAATAAATAGTGCCTCATCATTCATTTAGCAAACAATAAGTTAAACAACAGGGGGGCGGGGGAAGACAGAGAGCCTGTCTAGGCTGAACAGCTACAAAATGTTGAGAGAAGTCAGAAAGGAAATTCCCTGCCTTTCTACGGCCCTGCTCGTGGAGTGGTGGGAATCAGACCCCTTTTTTTTGCAAGTGTAGGGAAGACAAGGGAAGGCTGTGAGCGGGCTGAATATGGAGAGGGGGATGTTCAGACATGTCAGAAATGAATCATCTAACACAAGTGAAAGAGGAGAGGAATGGAGCAGATGCCAAAGCTCTCTCCAGCTCTGCTTTCTAGCATACTGCTGGGAAGGGAGCCAGATCAGTATAGTAAAAACAAGGCCAAAAAGGCTGTGAAGAGATAGGCTATAGGCCAACACTGAACCCATTTCACCCTCAACAGGCATTACAGGCACTGAGGCCAGGTTTACTCTGCAAGCTTTTGCCAGCATGGCTACATTGGTCAGGGGTACATGAAGCTGTGATCTCTAACCAGGATAACTGGACTTGCAGTAGCTCCTTGTGTTGAAGCAGTTGCATCAAACAACTGGATTTTTGCCAAATAGGTCATGTTTATCAGGGAGCCTTGAAGAGGAGTGGGGAGTCCAATTATGTTGGACTAATTGATATAGATTACCGTTACATCCACACTTTGGACACTTGACTGCTACATAGACCTGGCCTGAGTAAACACAGGCTGACAAAACAAAGGCAAACTCTTGAGGTGAGCATACATAGAAGCTAACTGAGTCACTTGCAGGTGTGAGGTGTACTTGAGTATAAGAGATAAGAGGCAGTGTCAGCCCTAATGGAAAGTTGTGACAAGGACTCCAGACCAAAGCTGATATGAAAATGGTCTCTCCTCCGGCTGAACAGTTTAATTTTCCAACAAACCCCTCCCTGCCAAACTCAAAATCTTCCCATTCAGCAATGGTGCCTTATGCCCCCAAGTTTTTTCCCAAGGGCCAAGCTCCCTGGTCAGACTTTGCACCCAATGATGCCTCACAGTCTCCCGTCCTGGTGAGCAGAGACACCCAGGCCAAGGTGCAGCATAGGAGATGCTATCCAGCTGGGGAGAATGGGAACATTAGAAAACCAAACTACAATATTAAAGATGAACTGCAGCAAGATATCAGCATTAAAGTAACCGGTTTCTCAGTTTAAATATTGTAGGGTTACCATACGTCCAGGTTTTCCCAGAAATGTCCTCTTTTTGGACCCTTCAATCTCAGTCTGGGCAGTTTTTTGAAATCTGAACCAATGTCCAGGATTCTGCTCCGCTCTGCTGGTGGGAGCAGGAGGAGGGCAACTGGAGGCAGCAGGCGTATGTCTGTCCATTTGCACAAGCACATGGCCAGCAATGCAGTCTGGCAGGGTGGTGGGTGCAGCCCCGGCAGCTGGATGCAGGTAAGTCTGGGGGTGGAGGAGTTGGAGGGCCAGGGCGCGCGTGCATGCGTGCGTGTGTGTTGCAGGGGTGTGTACAAGGGATGAGTGTGTGATGGGAGGTGGATGCCTGCTGACATGGAGGAAAGCATGGTTTCCGGGTGCTTGGGCTGTGGCAGGAAGACACCTACCCCTCCAGTGGGGGAAGGGGATGGGGGGGCAGCAGGGAGCTCAGTGGCCAGGCCAGCAGCATGGGCCAGTGCCTGTGCTCACAGGGCTCAACCAGCTAGGAGAAGCTGCCCAGGGGGGCATGGCCAAGCCACCTGGTGCGGCACTGTAGTCCCAGCTCAGGGTGGGGAGTGCCACAGGCCTCCCTTCATCTTCCCTCCTGCCCGTGCCAGGGCCAGGCTCACTCCGCCTGCACAAATCAGAGCTGCTGTGCTCCAGCCCAGTCAGGACAGGGGCACCTGGGGCCCCCCCTCGGGCAGGGCTGGAGGAGCAGGGGGCTGTGGGTTGGGAGTGAGGGGTACTAGCAGGGTCGGGCGGGGGGAGGAGGGGGAGGGACTGTGGGTCAGGAGTGAGGGGTACCAGCAGGGCTTGGGGTCTGTAGGTCAGGATTGAGGGGCAGAGACAGGGGGCTGCAGGGTGGGAGTGAGGGACACTGGCAGGGCCAGAGAGCTGTGGGTAGGGAGAGCTGTCCCCCTGATAGGGGTTTTTTTGGAACTGGAAATATGGTAACCCTAAATATTGCAAATAAAAAGTATTTTCTCCACATAAAGCAAATGCATCTTGTGCAAAGTTTTGTTTAATTGAAAAAAATCAATTTTGTATGTTGTGGAAAATCCCCAACCCCTGGGTCCTCTTCCCAGGCGCAGATTGACTGGAGCTGTACCTGTGTTCCAAGGATTATTGCAGTTGGACCAGGGTAGCACAGCAGCAAAGGAGCTGAACAGGTAGAAGAGAGCCCAAGACAGAATGACAATGTAGTAGATATTCAGATAGGATTCAATGACTTGTGAGGCATATCCAATTCCTGTGAAGACAAATTAATGGGGAGTTAGGCCATCATTTATAATAGCCCCTAGTATATCAGTCTTTACCCTCAAATAGTGACACGGACCATCCCACTGGAGCAAAGGAGGCAAGGAAAATTAATTAGTTTGCTAGAAAATGCTGAAACATTCATTTCAGAGGAGTATTCTTGGTGAAACAAGAAAAAGAAGGACCTTTTATCAGGTTCAGGCAGGGAAATTGCTGTATGAAACCATGGAGAATTTACAGCTAGCCCCCTCCGGATGATATTTTTCTAGCCTGTGTCAGAGTTCAGAGGCATTTACTTCATCCTCTCTTCCCCTGTTCTTCCTATTTATTAGCTCCACTGTCCTGCTGCACCTTCCCTGAACTGGACGCTACGCTCCATGTCCTGTTCTGTGTTGGTCCAGTGCCCAATACGCGCAAACATTCATCGTTCTTCTGGCAGGAAACAATCAGGACGGAAAGGAAGGGAGCGAGAGGAGAGGAAGGGAAGAAGGATGAGAAGAAGAAGAACTTAAAAGGAAGTGATATCCAGTAATGGACTCACCTTCAAAGATGGGGCAAATCTTCCTCCAGGCAGTGACACCTCCCTGACTGGTGTACTGCCCCAGAGCAGTCTCCAGGAAGAACACAGGAATCCCACACGTAAACAAGAAAATGAGGTAGGGGATGAAGAAAGCACCTGTGGAAAGTGAGGCAGTTAATGATGAAAGGATCTGTACTAAGCTGTACTAATCTGCACTGATCTCCACACCGCCCCCTGCCATTTGGTATGCTAACCAGGGAGGTGGAATATTTCCTCCAGACATGGCTGACCACATAATATAACTGCTCGTCTAAACTAACTGACCCTCTTGGTCTGCAGAGCTATGGAGAGCTTCTAAGAGAACAGGCTCTCCGATTTCTTCTTGCCCTGGAAATACTACCTGCCTCAGGCTATTTTAGCACTTCTGCATCTGGTATTGGCCAGGATCTGGAAGTGCAAAAATTGCTGTGGGGGAAAGGAGAGCTGACCTTTTTTTTTTTTTTTTTTAAAAAA